CTGTCTTCCATTTGATACTGCTTTCAGTCAAGGGTTGCCAGGTTATATGGGCTAGTACTACTATTTATTCAAGAAAATTACCATAAATCCTAGCATACAAGTTGACATGGCACACAAAACCATCCCATTTTGTTTCAGTCCCAATAATCATGTTTTTATACATACTCTGCATTGTAACATGTCCAACCAAATGTTAAACTCTCATTTAGTAGTCGGCCTCTGTTTTCTCCTCACAAATACATATTTTCTTAATTGGTACCTTACAATTAGGCATAAGGGATTAATCATGTGTTGCAAATGTGCAAGGGAGTTTAAGACACACCAGTCTTTGAGTCAGAAGCAGATGATATTTCAAAATGATGACCACCCATGCCATCATTTCACCTTTATACTTAATGTATAAGTCAACCCATATTTTTGAGGAATTTTTCAAGGTTTCAAAAGTCACTTGTATGCCAACATTTTTGACCCCCTGAAAATTAATGCAAACTTTTAAAAGTCTTTTTCATCATTCATAAAGCCAATTACAGACTTTGGATTGGGGTCATCACAATTTATATACACCAGTCAACTAATGAATAAAGCTTCTAAAAACTTAATTAATTTTTTTTAATGAACATAAGCAGTGTTCCTGCACAAACAAAAAATCTCAAACATGGTACACTGTCTATTAAATATATCAAGAATTGTCACAAAACAGAAGAACACCACTCTGCCTGTCTTATCTGCACCGGTTATGTGACCATTTGGACTTGGTGTCAAACTTCCTGACCTTTCCCCATAACTCTGTACGTTGGACGATTTTTTAAAAATAGAAGCAGTGTCCTTTTGAATGCTTTAATTGAATCTATCTCCACCACAACTTCAGGTAGTGTATCTCAAAGCTGAATGAATCGCTGTGTGAAAAATTGTTTTGTCACTCTGTATTTGCTTCTTTTTCAAAATGCTGTAAAGCTGTGCCCTCTGATTCTCAATCCATTTGCAACTGAGAGCAGGTTCTCCCTATATACTCTATCCAGACCTTCATGATCTTGAAAACTTCAACCAAATCTTCCCTGAGCCTTCACTTCCCCAAGAAACCTCGAATCATTCTGTTTCATAGAAATGCAAATCTTGTAACATAGAGGTACAGTACTTCAGTGAGCCTGCAATCCCAGTAGAAATCTGTACTTCAAAAGAAGTACAGGGCAGGGAGTTGGTATTTTGGTGTTTACCACTTCCTGCTGGAAGTACATAATCACTGAATTTACATTTATGTGATTAATGTAACATTATGATGCTGTTCTAGTACAGTTTTGTCATGCAAAGTCGTCTAGAGCTGCATGTTAATTTTGATCTTAAATTCTTGTGATTATAATGTGATAAATGTTCAAAGGAGGGTCTTAAATCTAAGACAAGAAGCAACCTTTCTAAAAAAAAAAGTTGTTCTGACATTCAAAATGAACAACAGGAGCAAAGCTTGAAGAATTCAAGGAATAGTAAAAGATAGAAAATCTTCCAAGGATAGGGAAAGGATGTGTAGAAAAAGATTTACTTAGTCCAAGACTGGGATGGAAAATCAAAAGGATAAGTGGCAGATGTTTATAATATTATATTTGATAGTTATTTAGTGTCGATATAACATCCTGGCACTGAAGTAATGTGATGTCTGTCACAGAAAAAGATTTGGTTGAAGTTTTCAAGATCATGAAGGTCTGGACAGAGTATATAGGGAGAAACTCCTCTCAGTTGCAAATGGATTGAGAATCAGAGGGCACAGCTTCACAGTATTTTGCAAAAGAAGCAAATACAGAATGACAAAACAATTATATACAGTCCTTTCTGCTCTCACGCGATAGTTGCACCCTTGTGCAATAAAAATAACAGGGCTTATGGAAAAAATGGGGTTGGGGCAGACCACGAAAAATGTGACTCAAAATCAAAACAAATGTGGTAGTTAGTCGAACACAATTGATTGCTCAGTTTAAATAAATGTTAAATTCTTACCTGATAATGAAATAATACAGTAAATTTAACACTTTACCTTGAAAAAAAATTGAAGACAACTTGATGGGGGGAAGAGGTTGGTTTTGGGGTTGCTGAGTTGTTAAGACAGGGGCTGAGGGTTATCATCATCATCACCTTCAGGTGCAGTTGTGGTTGCAGGGTTAGGATGAAAAATAGTTAATCCCACAAGTGGATGACTGCAGTTCATTGTCTTCTGACTGTTTCTTGGGGGTAGGCTTAAAAAAGACATCTAGGTTTTGCTGCTTTTCTATTCTTCCTCTTTCATAAGGAAGCTGTTCATAGGGGGCCAAATAAGACCTTATTCCACGAACTGCTATCCTGTGGCATTCTGCATTGTAAATGTCGTCCTCTAATTGTTGCAACTGCTTCTCAACTTCCCTCAGGACAGAAGACAAAAGAGAATCTAAAAGCTCTCCTGGTGCTGCATCCTGGACTTCACCATCTTTGTCTCCAACTTCCATTTCCCCCTCAGCAACAAGTTGTTATAGATCAGCTATAGAGAGGTCTTCACAACGGGACTCAAGCAGCTCTTCAACATCCTCCCTCTCGAAATGTGATGTCAATGCGGAGACTCTGTTAGCATAAACATTGTATTCTTCCGCGCACCACTATACTTAAAGTGTTGGGGATGGAATCACATAATAGCAAAAAATTGTATGTGTACGTTTGAGTTTTGCAAATAGTGTTCGCCTATTCATCAATCACATTAGAGCCAATTCACGTTGACAAAACACGTGTAATAGCAGGAAGGACTGTATTGTTCAACAATCTTATCATGAATTTTTGATAGTCATTGAGTGAATTAGAAGGATTGGACAATAACCTAAGAAAAAGAAACTTGCAAATATAATGAATAACTTCACCATACTTAATATGGGAGGTGGACCAGAATTTGTTGGGATAAGTCAGATAACACTCAATTTACCTAGACTAGGATCAGTTCAAACTGGAGCAGAACACATTTTCAGCAGATGCTCAGGATCAGGAGCAGAAGGAGTATTGATTGATTTTCATAAATGCTGACAGCTCATATATGGAATGGAATTATTCCCTCAGTGGTGTAGCATGAGCAGTGAGAGAAATGTGAAAAATATGATGCAAATGGAAAAGTTCTGAATCTCAATGCTGAGATTTTTTTTTCAACTTTGTCCCTCAAGACATAAATGGCAGATTGAAGATCTCACCATTGAGTGGGGACTACAATATTTCCATGCATTTGCATCTCATCAAACGCCAATACACCTTATTTAAATGCCACTTCCAAACTACCCATCCTTCACTGAGGAAATAGATGGCATAAATTCCCAAACAGAAAATTAGATCAAATACCTGCCAGTTGCAGCTTGTCAAAAGTTTGTCCCAGTAACCATGTAACCACATCATTGCATGCTCCCTAGCCACCATCCTCCTTGATCCTTTATTGACAAACTAGCAGCCTTACCACATCACCAAGCCTGTTCGACAAGCTCAGGCACAACTTCAACATGCTACTTTGGAGCTTGTGGATATCTAGGACTGCATGTTGCTGCGAGGTCACATTGTGTACTTCAATCCACAAGTATCTCATGCATCAAAACAGGATGCGTCTTATGCCTCTTTACTTGCTTTCTTAGTGCACAATCACGTTACTCCATTCTTGGAGGCTGCCAGCCTCTGTCTGCTTCATGTTGCTTTCTCAGTGGACACTTAGCACAATGGACTGCAGCAGTTTAAAAGACAGCTCACTGATGCTTTCTCAAGTGGAACTAGGCTTCGCCAAAATAGATATGGAAAGGACATTTCCTCTTGTGAGAAAATCTAAAACTAGGGGTCACTGTTTCAAAAGAAGGCACCATCCATTTAAGGCAGATGTGAGGAGGACATGTTTCCCCTTCTACAAAAGGCTCTGGAAGCAGAGTCGTTGAATATGTTTAACGCAGAAATAGAAAGCATCATGGCAGGCAAACAGCTGGGTAGTCATTTGGGAGGCTTGAATGTAGAATCAGATCAGCTGTGATCTTATTGAATAGCGGAGCATGTTTGAGGGACAAGAGACCTCCTTTTGCTCCTTATTCCCAAGTTTATATGTAAATTCTGAAATATGAGCTCAGGGGTAGCATTCTTGCTTCTGACCAAGGAGAGCCCAGCATAAATATATGAGCACAAAAATCTAAATAGACATTATTGTGCAGTATTGATACAGTGCCGTATTGTTAAATGCACCAGTCTTCAAATGAGTTGTTAAATCGAGGCTTTGCCTGCACTGTCAGTTAGCTGGAAGACATACTGTGGCACCATTGGAAGAAGAGGAAAGGAGTCCTCTCTGGCAAGCCAAACATTAATAACCTTTTAACTAACATTGCTGTGAAAGATTGTACTGATCCGATAGCCTGCCCTGTTAAGTTTCTTTAGAACTCACAGCTCACCAGTCCCTGAAGACCAGTCATATAAAAAGGACCTGGCTTTGCACCAGCACAGCTGTAGAGTTGGATGGTACGTGTGCCAACTAGCCATCTGAAAATTACATGGAAAGAGGGCTTTGAATCCAAAATTTCCCAACTCGTTAACTGAAATTTGATCCAAACAAATCATTTTGTTTTATTGTTAGACAGTGGTCAACCAGTGTGGCAGGAGGCTGACTTCTGTCAAGTATCCTTATTCAGTGAATTGACTAATCTCCTGACAGGAAGCCACTCATGAAGGAAGGATTGGTTGCAGGATAAGCTTCCAATGGACTTGCCCTATTGATAGATTACACTTCCTTTGAATATGACCAGTTTGTCTATACACATAGAACGCAATATCCACTTTCATGAATAGACAGGGATAATGGAAAACAAATTTTGGAATAATCACTCCAAATTAATATACAAACATCACAAAGTGCTCATAATTTATCTTGACAAATGGATCATGCAGATATTGTATCCTAATACGGCTTGTCTTCAAGTATTCTTTTGTGATGAGCAACAAATTCCAATTAGGGGAAGAGACACATAATGTGAAGAACTTGCCTTAAAGAAAGTTACAGTAGCTCCATCGCCAACAGCTCCATACTCTATCTTTGTTTGTTTCGCCAGGTCATCTGCCGAGTCAATGGGAGATTCCATGCGCTCCACTGTCAGAAAAGCAGCCAGGTTAGCGGTATACGACGAAATGATGATCAGTGTGAAGAACCACCAGATGCCGCCCACAATCCTAGTTGAAAGGGCCTTGGGCATTAGCTCGGAACCTGACAAGAATGGTGGAGAGGAAACAAAAGTAATGGCATTAAAGAGCACTGGGTAACACGAGTGGCAGGTTGTGGTCAGAATCACCAAGATGAAAGTACTGAACCTTTGGAACAGGTAGTGCTTTTCATATAGGATATAATCAGGGGTTCAATTATTGGTGCTCAAGTTTCCAAGCACTGAAAATTGTGATGTGATACCAAAAGGTAAGGCTGCACTTCTTATTTGGCAACTTATTACAAGTTAAAGTAATTTCTTCCTTTTTTTTTCAAATGAAATGTGATTGCTAGCTGAGCAAATCAACTTCTTCAAAGAACCAATTCAAGATACTTCTGCTAAGCAAGGGAAAGTAAATGTGTTTCCCAATTTTTTTGCAGCTACTATAAAAATAAGATCCTCTATCACCAGTCCAGCACAATTAGTGCACCAGAACACCCCAAGCTTTGTGCCATTAATGTGCCTGAGTTCCTTTATCAGAACAGGGTGGTACTTTTTTATTCTATGCTGACTATCCTTGTTTGAAAATTGAAATTGGCAATTTGGTGCGAATTGTTCTGGAGTTGCATTGCGGATTTATGCCCACCAGAAATTTGGTTGAGATAGGCCAAAACTCATTCACTTCAAGATCTGCAAAGAAATTTGGCTGAAAGGAATTTTTTTTCCCCCTCAGTGAGCTGACTTAGTTCCTGGAAGATGGCGTATTTTGAGTTTTTGATGTTTACAGATTACCTCACAAGTAAAGATTGGTCACGTGGACAAGACTATGATGACTGCAACTGGAACAACTTCATCAACTTGTGCAAAAGGCAACTCTACATCATCTGCACCAGATAAATTAAGTGGCAACTGCACAATTCAAATGAAAAGCACTCCATATGACAATTAATAAAGGGTATATCAGCATTAAGGATGTTTGATAAGTATTTTCTGAAATAAAACTGACCATATAACTTATGAATAATAAGTCACTGCCTGTACAATAAAAACCGGCCCAGCCTGAAAAGCCCAACATCCATGAATGCATAAGGTAAGAGTCACAAGCACACAAAAACCCAAAGCTTGGAGCTGAAGTATAGGCTTTATTTTCACACGAAACAAATAATTTGAAATTTTAATGGAGTTATTTTCTCATGTGGTATCATGTCAGTGGTACTTCTCTACAAAATATTCATGAGAAAACCTCTTTATTGTTCCCAACAAGTACATGCATGTCTGTAGCAGACAGAGGATGGATGTCCAGTGCCCTGCGACTGGGAATTGACAATAAAGGGCTTGATTGATGGACTCATCCTCAAGTGAACCTACCAGTTCATACCTCGCAACAACAGGACACTCATGCATTTATGATTACCTTAGTTGAACCCCTGAATATAACATATACTATATATAAATACTTAAAATAGATTAAATTTATTCAACACTGATTGGATGGAGTTGACTGTTCATGTTTTTACACCAACAGTCATGGGTCTGCATTATTCTAAAAGCTTATGAAAATTAATTAACATTAATCCTTAATTTGGTCAGCCATGTTAAAATATGATTAACTGGTTCGACATGAGACCAGCAGTAAGTTGATGTATTTAGTGCTCCCCCTTGTAGAGATCCAAATGCTTTTGGATTTATTTTGCTGAACGCTCAATTTATAGGCACAGAGTTTTTTGGTCCATTCAGGTTAACAGAAATAGAAACTTTGTGATCATCAAATCCTGAAAAGCCCTTCATAAAACCATAGAGTGTTGCAGCTCACAAGGAATCTTTTTGGACTAACACATTTATGCCAGGTTCTTCCTAGAAGTATCTGACTGGTGCATCTTCCCTGCTATTTCTTCACAGCCCTGTAAACTGTTTTTTGCTTAAAATGTTTACTGAATTACCTTTTGACAGTTATTATTGAATGTTTTCATGTAGTGCAATCCGGAGCTAAGGACACACTGATTTTTTTTTCTTTTCTTTGATCCCGTTGCCAATTAATTTAAATCTATATCCTTTGATAAGCGAACCCAACCCCATTGGGAATAGTTTCTTCTTATTTACTCTACTGAAGTATCTTATGATTGTTCATGCTTCTTTATCAAATTTCTCTTTAAGGAGCGGAGCTGCACTTTCTATCGTGTCTTCATCTAGCTACAATCTCATCCCACTCTCATAAATTTTCCATGCATCCCCTCTAAGGGCTTGACATCTTTTGTGTGGCACCTGTGTACAGTGATCTTAAGTTTGGAACATGCAATCATTTCTACTCAAATGCTTTAATTATTCTATGCAGCATAAAGTTATAGCG